TGTATCTTATATTATTTTAATTTTTGGCACATCTCAGCTGCTTTCGGGAATAATAATGTAAACATTACATTGTTCTTGTATATTATATTCTAATATTATCTAAGCTCATAATTTCTGCTAAATTCAAATGTTTTCAATGTCAAACAATGTTAAGTGATTTTTTGTAATTTTTGCCATTTATTTCTACAATATTACTATAGTTTTATCGTTCAATAAATTTTAAAAATTTCTTTTGACAAACTCTAAAAAGAATTACCAAAATCCGAATAACCGTTGAGGAGAAGTATCAAATCATACGCCCGTACAGAAGAATTTTATATGTATATATATTTTATATATATATATATATATATTTATATATATATATGCCCCTAGGTCTTTTGTATGGGTATGTCGGGCTCAATTTGCTTGCATTGGCATCGGATGAGGCCAAACTATAAATTACAAAAAAATTCTATTACTTTTTTAATTTGATTCGTGTATTCGACGTTCAGAAAAATAATTTGTAGCATTTTATCTCATTAAAAACTCAAGTGTCAGTAAATTCGTTGTAATTAAATAATTCGATAGAAAATGCGGATCTGTAAAATGTGGATATATGTTTTTCAATTTAGACGCGCAACGTACGCGAAGCCGGAAATGCGTCGCAAATGTAATTATCCACCGAATTCCGGGAAAGCACACAAAAAATCCCTTAATTTATTGGTTTCATGTCCTGGCAATATAAATTCCATGTAAATTACTCGCCGGCTCGTTTAAACATAAAAATATATATAACCGGGCCAGACTGTTTCTATGCAAATGTTATGACTTGTATAAGCTTTCGTTTATGCGCGTTATTAAAATCTGTTTCTTTGCCGCCACTTACTGGATTTGTTAAAATATTGTCTAGGTTCAGCACCCAAATATTTGGGTAATCGACTTAAAACAGATTTTTATATTCGAGATCATTTTTAGTAGAACAACTGTCTTGATATTCGCAAAATATGATTTTCTGGACATAAGAGAAAAATTTCTCTCTAAATACGGTTATTACAAAGAAAGCATTTAAATAAGTTACTTTTTTTATTTGTAATAATACAATGATCTCTCACTGTTTTGATATACTATCTAACTTTATTGAATATTAATTGTAGTTACGAACAATATTAGTAATTAATACGAGATTATACCCACGCTTCAAGCGCAGTTGCATATGACTTTATTTGTCAATCATGATCAAATTTCAGATCGAATTATCGGACGTGCAGATTAACATATATTGGCAGCAACATATTACAAATTATTCAAATTGGTAATTGATAAATAAATTATCATTGATTTTATACTGTGCTCAAAAGTAACATATAGAGCTTGTCAAAAATAATATCTACTATTCAGAGGTTAAATAATTATTATTCATACTTTAAAGAAGTCAGTTAAATTTTGAATTTTATTTATTCTATATACATTATTGTATTTTATTTGTATGTGGTTCTTTCTATTACTATATTACTAAAATGTGTAAAAAATACTATAATGTTTTTGAGAATGAAATAAATCCGAAATTCCGGTTGATTTACTATTTCCTCTTATTTTTCGCCCAAGTTTATAAATTTCGCCATGCACCGTCATCATAATGCACATTGCACAACAATTCTTTTATAGTTTTGTGCGGCAGGGAGCATAATGCTACCGGTAATAAAATATATGAGCCGTAGACGTAGATGTTGTATATTTCAGTAAGTCATAAATTTACACAAGCAATGCCATCAGCATGAGAATTTAGGAGAAATATTGTCTACGGCGTAGAACCGAAATAATATTGTGATATTGTGATCGAGTTTGTTGTCGAGAGCGACCGAAATATGTTTTCAGTTTACTTTGAGGAGGAAAGATTTCTTCCTTTGAAGAAGAAAATGAATGATAATAGTAATAAAACAATTTTTGATGTTTGATATTTGAACATTTTTTTCCCATGTCACCAAGAATCAAAATTGACAATATATTGTAATGATTTCTTTAAGTGAAGATAAGTAATATGTAATTGTAATAGGTCATTTTGATTGTTGTCAGCTCTAATGGGCCATTCATCTAAAACCCAATTTATATGAGAAATATTTAATAAAAATTATTTGGTATTATGCTTTAAAGCAAAATTTTCCCTTTTCGGGCACTTTGAAAATACTAGATTATTATTAGCTTATAAATGCCGAATACAATTTCTATTTTAATGGCCATTGCAATATTATTAAATATACAAATTTCACAGCAATTTACATTAAACTGCAAAAAGGTTAGCTTCCAAAGAGGAAGTTAACGCTAAACTAAAAAAAGGATCATTAATCACAGCGAAGCATCCTTTGCTATAAGTAGTTAGTTCCTTATAACAAAACATACTTAGGGAACTTTGATCTCTTTTCTTTGTCTACTTTATGCACTCTGAAAGTTTATAGTAAAAAAGGACAATGATAAACTACCGTAGTTTCAACATATCTTTTTGGTGAATCAGTTCAAGTCTGTATTATTGATTAGTTTTAACTTTGATAGTAATTTGAATAATACAATTACTGCATATGCAAATATCATTACATTGTTCTATTTTTATTTATAATATTTCAATTAAATATCTATGAAACTGATTTTTTGACTTTAGTAACTCAAGCACTTCTACAAATATCTCTGTATTTTTGATGAAGTATATTCATTCTGTTTCCACATATTTCATTCTAGTTATATATCCACTCAAACTATATCTCTGATATACTGTTTTTCAAGCTCAAAATTGTAGTGCGGTTTTAAACAATAGCACTTGGAACAGAAAATAATAAAAATATTGCAGAATATATCAGAACGAGCTTAATGGCTTAATCCGTTACAAAGTAAAATCCTCTACAAGCCGAGAGCTTTATTTCATTTTGAACGATCGACGTTGCTAGTACATAGAATTCATTTTTATATTCAGGTGTTTTTCACACAAATGTAAAAACTGCGAAGCCGTATGATAGCTTTGAAATGAATCAACAACTGCTGAATAATCGTTTAATTATGTATGTAATAGTTTTTATTTACAAATTTGCGAAGAGAATCATTCAACATTTTTGTTTACGGAGCGCTATGTGTGAATGATATACGTTCCCAAATTTTACTCGCACAAAAAAGTGACAAGCAAAATAATTCTGATTTTATGAATATTCTATTATGCGTTTCTATTTATATTTTGGTAAAAGAATCAGTATTTTCCATATGCATATGCGGGACCCGTATACGGAGTGTAAACTCAATTTGACGCCGTTATAATTTTCAGTTCATATGTAAATATCACAACATCGTCACACGAATTATTTAGATAAATAAAATGGAAATGGCGAAAAAGATTTTCTCTACATTTTGCGTGCAGAGTGAATGTTTTTTATTTGCTCATACATCGCATGTGCTCTTTATGTAGAAAGCTATGTGTGAGTCAATTTGAATTCATATATGTTTTATTATAGAATTGCATATTAATAAACAGCGGATATGCTTCCAGATTTGAAACATAAGATTTTTCTGGATTTAAATGCGTTTTTATTTATTATGTATAAACAAAAAAGTATTTTTGTTTCTATTCAATTCAAGGTTCTCATAAAGTACACGATCGCTCCACCGTAATAAAAAATAGTTTATAGTAAAGGATTGTTGAACGAATAAGTATAATTTCGCTCTATAGAGATAATTAACATTAAAATTATTGTGACTATAATTAGTCTAATAATATTTATAAAAAAAATATTTTGTATTAACTACGGCTTGTTTTTTATTAGCATCAGTACATTGTTGATGATCGAATGCATAATTATAATAAACCTACGACTTGATATATTATATTTTTTGTTCTTATAATAATTATAGACTCAGGATCGTGTTTAATTCTTGTTCTTTTTAGCTTGAAGCATCTAATAGTTTTTCAAGATTAACTAGTGGTGCATGGTATCGTGCCTTAAAACAAATCCCGTACTAAAAATATTTGAAATTTTTAAAATTATTGACTTGATATATGATATTTTCTGCTCTTATAGTAATTATAGACTCAAGATTATAATTAATTCTTGTTCTTTTTAGTTCGAAGTGTCTAATAGTTCTTCAGCATGAAATAAGGATTAACTAGTGGTGCTTAAGGCATCGTGCCTTAAAATTTTTGAAAAATTAGATTTTTTCTATTCTTTGGAAATATTTGAAATAAAAATAATTTTAAATATTTTGGAAATTTTGAACCTTTTTTTTCAAAGCAATTGCTATACGTTAGTTGCGTAGAAACGAAATATCAAAGCAAAGTGAACAAAATTTGTTTCTATTATTAAAATATCTATAAAACATCTGATAATTTGATGTGCATATGTCTAATCGATCGCTTTTGTTCGCCAAATGGATTTTTTCACTTTTTTATGGCATTTTCGAAATTGCTAGACCTGCCTCTCCAAATTTTCATTTCGTCAATACGAATAAAATGATTTTTGGATCATTCAAATCGGTCTCGAAATTATCGATGAAAAATTGTATTCGTACATACATATACACACACATGTACGGACACACACACACACATACACATCCTAAGTATTTCTAAGTAAATTTCTTCTAAAATATTAAAAAGCCTTTGAAACGTAGAGGTATATAAAGATTTTCATTTTTGATTTTTATGCGATTAATGATTTTGTTACTATAACTTACCCTACGTGAAGTTAATAATAGCAATAATATAATAAATTATGAAATTATGAATATGAAACACTGAGGAACCCGTATTACCTCGGCATATCAAGCAACAATCTATATACCTGTATAAACCATAAATCTGCAACATCTCAGACCCAAAATACAATCAACTCATACAAATTTCCTCAAGCAGAAGCTATTATCGTCCCACACAAGATACTCTAGTCTAAAGTCTTACATCCGTAGTAACACTAGAGACCTGTCACTCGGTTGGATGGACATTCGGTCATCATACTTGTCTGATCTGATCTTTGGTATGATTTCAGAAAGAGCGCCCGTGGCCGTGGTCGAAGGCGGGGACGCGTTGCTGACGTGCGTGATCCGACCTATGACCTCGGACGCACCAGGAGGTGCTGACACTGTGCTCTGGAAGACTGGTAGAGGACAAGTGCTCACCGCCGACTCGGCCAGAGTTACCAATGATAGGCGCATCTCAGTACTGCATGATGAAGGTAAGCCAGATATTGAAACAAATTCAATAATAGTCAATAATAGTCCTTGAGATTAGGATTGGTTAAGGGAGTATTCTAGTGTAAAGACATAAATTTTAGGCCATTTTGAAATTTTCGTAAAAAGGCAAACAATTTTTACTATCTTTATTTATGATTTATCAACGTTACAATAGTAAAGAAGGAAAGTTGAAAAATGTTAATAATTTTAAAGATTAGCTGTTGTTGACGTAGGGTATCGCAAAAAATTGACACGTGACTAAGCCGACGATTGCAACCTTCATTGTAATCCGAAATAAAAAAAACCTATTTATCTAGAATAATGTCCCAATGCATATAATAAGATTAAGTTTAAAAAAATTTACAAAATAGCGACTGTTTGAAAAAAAACGAAAGTTTTGAGTTTTTCGAATTTTTAAAAAAACGAAATGAAAAGACAGAGAAAACTGCAAATGAATCGGTCCTGTAGATATCGTGAACATCGTATTGAAAAAGAAAGTTTTGAGAAAAACGCGTTTAACGTTTTGCAAAAGAAAGGAAACTCAAGAGGATTATCATGTTAATACAGCCTCCAAAAATAATTCGAATTTTAAAAAATCGTCTCGTACACATATTTTTAAATAGTTAGGAATATTAAATAGTAAACTTCATAAATATACAACATTTTTTTGAATTGCTGCATTAGATAGTCCCTTAATTCCAACTAATGTTAATATTGATTGGCAATCTAAATAATAATTATTCAGTCAAGAATTTTTGTTACATTGCGTAGAACGTCTCGTCGCTCATATATTTCGATTTAAATTATTGATAACTTGAAATCGATGTATTTTAGATAATTTTTTATATCTGTGACACGATATAAAGTTAGGTTTCTTCTAAAATCAAAAATTTGAAACTAGCACATTTGTAATTGGATTTACTTATAATTTAAAAAAAATATTTTGAAATCTGAATAGTTATTCTTTAAAATGTTGTTTGCCAGTAATTCAGTAAGTTTAGTCTGGGATTTTGTAGAACGTCTCATGGTCAACATTTCAATTTAAAGTATTGATTAATATTTCATACTAGTATATGATTTCGTATTGTTTTCTGAACTATAACATAAAATAAGAATGAATTTCTCCTAGAATCTGCTTGATTTTACAAAAAAAGGTTAAAATATCCATTACAGATATTCACTTTAAAGTCTGGATAATTAACCAATAAAAGTTTGTATGTCAATAATTACCAAGGATTTTTTTCTAGGTTAAGTAGAACGTCCCAGAGTTAATGCAATAATTGCTAATTTATTGACACTGAAATTCATTTTATATTCCATTTACTGATTTTGAAATTATTTCCAACATCGTAAAATATAATTTTGCATTTATAAGATACATCAATTAATAGTAGCGCTCAACATATTTTATACATATAAAATGTAAAAACAATTTATAACTTTCATTCTAAAAAAAATGTTGTAAATGTGAATCGTAAATCGATATTTTTAAATCTTGATGATACAACTTTTAAGTTCAAAATTGAATAAATAATACAGATACTTGAAAAAGGTGAATTTTATAAAATAATTAATTTTCTCGAAATATTTTACTACCATGTATGGGGCAAGAGAGTAATATATTTCAATTTTTACAACCCTAGTTAATATACTGCTTTTGCTGAAATATCTCAAGAGGTAAAACGTGTTTCGAATTTACCTATTCCATAATAACGTATTCAAAATCAATATTGAATGAAGAATTGCGAAACGATATAAAATCTACTCCGATGGCGGATAGTTTGCTTAAGATAGAAGACTTACATTATAATATCTATAAGTACTATTTATATAGTATTATGCATACAAATCTCATAATTTTCAAACATTTAATAATAAGATAATTGAGAACATTACGAGTTTGTATTTGTTTTATATTTGATATTTAATTTTAATTAGCATATTAAAATCTGTAAACGTGTCACATGAAAACTTTTAATTGCATTGGAATTGAGAATTTGGTTATTCATATCATTTATCTATTTGAAAAATACAATACTTAACTAACAAATTTTTGAATAACACAGCAAATGAATGCAATATCATGTAAACATTGGGAATTTGAGATATTCATGAATTACAAAAATTCGCTAATAACTTAATTTAAATTTTATAGTGTCATCTTCAAAATGTCATTGACATTTTATATATTCCCAACGGTTACGTATAGAATCGTTTCAGGTACTATTGTTTTTATAAAATATCGAAAGTATTGCAAGCACGTAGAATCGATTCAATATCACTTGGAAAACTATAAAATGCTATTGAAAATGAAATGACGGTCAGAAATATGAAAGATGTTGGGCAACAGAGATGTTTCATGCCAAATAGCTATTTCCGAAATATTAATATAGGGAAACCCTTTTATGCAATATTTTATAATACTCTATATACAAAGGTTTCTCAAAACTATTCTAAGAAAAAAAATTCAGAGACATACGTGCATTCATTTAAATCTATAGATTTCATTTGACCACTTGCCAGAATTTTTGCTAACATAATTTAAGAAATAGTGTAGCATAATAAACTTAGCAATTAAATAAATTATTCCAGTAATTATGGGTTTGGCTTCATTCCAGAATTTTGCAAAATATTGAATTAAAAGTGAATTAAAAATAGATTTTCGCTCTATTATTAACTCAAAATAAAATTAATGCTGTGATGATATATTTGTTGAATGTAGGACAAAGTAGTAATTGAATTCCATTAGTTTTCATGATCGTGTAATTTGAACTATTATAAATGCAATGTGAATCACACTAGTCATAGTCATATTATATTTTATATTGAGTTTAGAGTGACATTAATTATTTTACTATTATATTATAATCAAAATTCAGAATTTCACCCCTAAATTTAACGAAGGATATCAAAACTTTTTATCAAAACCACTTTGCACTTGCGTATTTAAATTTTGGTTGTGAGCACAGTTGTTTAGTTTACGAGACCTTAATATAATTTTTTAGTATATGTTATTTAATTTTTTTATAAACTTGTAAATTTAAAGTTAGATTCAACGGTTATTTATATAATTTCTATAAAAGCTTACACGTGGGTGGGGTAAAAAGGACCAACTCAATATTAATCCTGGCAAATAAAAAATGAATAAGAATAAAAAAGTAAATTAAGTTAAAAAGAGCACTTTTACAAGCTATAAGTTAAATAAATAGTTATTCCATCCCTGCTGATGATTGTTTCTGGCAAAATACCAGATCAAAGTTATATACATTGTTATTTCTGTGAAAAATGTGCCCAGGAAATTTATATTGTTCATTGGTTGAATAATGTAGCTATGTTGTCGTGAAAACTTTTTAAAATTAAATATAAAACATTGGACCTTTTTGCTCCTTGACTTCGCTCATGGGGTTAAAAAAACCAGATGACAAATTTTTGAAAAATAGCAAAAATGACACACTTTTCGACAATCATGAATTAGTTGAGAGTTTTAATGATATAGTCAGATAGTTGTTTGTTTGATATGTGTTATTTGTTGTGATCTAATTGATTTGACAATTTGAATTTGATTTCACAATATAATTGCTCAATGTCAAATGATTTTTCAGTAAATAAACAACAAAATTATTTGTTTTAAGTTTCATGAACTTTTTGAAATGCATATTTAATCAACTTAATCAATAAGAAATCAATATATTAATTTATTGTGGTTTGTTTGCCGGATTACAATAGGAGCTGTTAATATTGTTAGAAATCATTGCAGATAATTCAATTTTATGAAAAACTGAAAAACAGATACAAATTAAATTAGATATAATACATCATTAAAAGAAAAAATATGCACACACCTAATACATGCATGCATTTCAAACTTTAATAAAATTTTATAATTAATCCAGGGTAATTCGAGTAAACTAATCCATGGTAATGTTATAGAATATTTGTTCAGACAATTTTTCAGTACCAATAGATTCAGAATGACTTAAAACGCCGTGAACATAAAATTAGTCAATCGGATTTTCTACCCAAAATACCAACTTGTTCTTCGGGAAGTTAAAACTTATTAAATTGATATATTTACAACCGACGGTCCTAAACGGTGTGGCTTTTTCGGTAATATTTACACAGGGGCTCTAACGTTACTCCAGACATCATCTATAACACCGTAATCACTCTCAACTTACATTTCCGTACCCGGAGTCACCGAGCGAATCATCCGGACTCCGGACTCTATATCGGCGCTCGTAACAGGGCTGAAATTATACTGTAACAAGCCAGAAATACATAAAGTGAATGATTATTTCGGCTCTTTGTCTTCGTAATATTTTCGTAATGACCTGGAAAACTGTGCGATAAATTTTAAGTGATTCACGGTGCATTTAATTTGTAACTAGATTTTATATTATAATATCGGGTTAGGTGACTAATAAACTGTCGTGGCAGTTCAAGTTTTATCGTTTTGTTTATTTTTTATTTTGTTTATTATAATGATATAAAAAATTAAAGATTAATTTTATAGCTGAAAGATTTTTCATAATCCTGTATTTGTAGTTCATGATCAAGTATACTCAAAATAATAAAAACAAACATTCTTATATTAAAATATTCTTGGACATCACAATTATTTTCAATATTTATCTTGAGAATTTATATACATTATTATCTTAAAACTGGAATATATATTTATGTGTTTATGTGTGTTTTATCATTTAGTTTACTGGAATATGTTAATGATATGGGAAAAATGAAAAGTGCAAGGCTGGGCACAAAGGTCCATTTTCACTTCAAGTAATTATACTGTCTAAACCAAATGCACTACTTTAAAACAAATAGCACATAATAAATAAGCAATTATCGAATTATGTACAGTAAAATTCCAAGTTAAATCATTATTGTATAACTATTTTTTTTGCTATTTTTAAAAAAATTGTCACCTGATTCTTGCTACCCCTTAGGCAAGGTAACATGGTACAGCCAGTGGACAAACAAGACCAATTTTTTTTTTGATTTTAAAGGGATTTTACTAAATAATAGTTGCAGTGTTCAACCAATGCAAAA